CCCGCTGCATTTTTGCGCCTGTCCCAAGTCAAGAGCCTCTGGCCTTTGTTAGTCTTGTATGTTTTTTAAAATTTTGGTTTATTTATATGTTTCGGAGTTTAGTGTGACGTCCATTTTTGCTGAACTGGTACACATTTTACGGGTGCGGGATTTTCTCGCTGTGTTGAAACCCATGGCCATTGGTGGCCTTGGGCTATTTTTCTGCTCTTTTTTTGGGTTGAGGTCTCTTTGACACATTCCCCGTTTCCATTCTCAATTTTAGTCTTAAGATTTTGCCATCATTATTCAAATTGTACTTTTATCTTTTTATCAAGGTAGATTTTTTATCGATTTAGATCAACTGTTACAGATTAATATGGTGAAAACACATGCACTTGGCAGACACGATAAACAGTCATTTTGCAATACACCTTATCGCTATTTATTCAAATCCAGATAAGTTCTAAAATTACACAACTTTTAGCGATCTGGGGCCCTGTTTAAACAATATATTATGCATTAAACTTTTCAAAGAGAAATGTTTAAACAATCGTAAAATTACAAACAAAGCATTTTTATTACTTTAATTTGTGTTTAAAAAACAGTGAATCATAATTTATCAAAGTTTCAAAATGTTTGCTTTCTTAACTTTTTCCTCACTTAGCTCGTTACTGATGACCTTTGTTTTTGCAACACTTGACCCAAACAGGAAATTGCCTAAGTGACTGTTTTTTTTCCGGATTGGTCTAAAGGTAGCGATAAAGTGTATTGTCCCTCCGGTTGAGTCAACCTTATAAATCAAAGCGACAAATAGTTTTAATAATTAAATTATTTTTCTTTTCAAGTAAAAAATACTCAGAATATGTAAAGTTCGGAAAAAAATACCGGGCCGGTTGCAGAAGACTTTGAGAAAAAGACCACCGCCGAAAACAACTGAGAGTTTTGTTTAGATTTTTATAATGAGTAAACATGTAAAGTAAACAATTTTTGCAAGTTAGTTTGTCCCAGTCCCAGATTTCTTTTGTAAACAAATAAAAAAAGTGGAGAAATGTTACAAATCTATGAAATGCAGTAGATGTAAATACCTTTTTAACACCTTTCAGTAGGTTGTCGGAATCAGGACAACTGACCAAAGACAAATCGGACCAAGACATCTCGGACAATTTTAAGACAACTCGGACCACTTTCAAAGACAACTCTGACCAGTTTGAAACACTGTTCAGACCAGTGTTTTGTCTAGATTTGACTGAAGTTGTTTTATACGTATACATGTATAACATTGAAATTAAATCGAACATTTGAAAGTATAGACCCCTTGATAATTTTGTTTTAATATTCTTAAGATTCTTATGTTATCTTTTAAAGTACACGTATGTCTGTAAACCCAATTTTAGATTTTAATGCATGTCAAAACATTAAGCGATGAACATTTTCATTTTTCTTTAGAAATAAAGTAGTTATATTTTATAAAAAAAAATATATTACATCATTCTCGACTTTAATCCTTTTTCAATGTAACATTTTGTACGCCAGACGAGTGTTTCGTTTACAAAGTAGTCAACAGTGACGCTCGAATGAACAATGATATCAACTGGATCCGATACTACAGTTCTTCTCTACTTTTTATATTTAAACCATATTCTTTTCGGAGTCCTATATAAACGTTTCTAGGAATATTAGGTGAAAATGTTTCCAACGTTGTTAATACACTTAACCGTTCTCTTTTAAATTTGTTACTTAACATTGCTTGTTCATAAAAATCAACCGTTTCCTTTGCAGCCTGTTCGAAAGACGTGGGCTTAAAACCAAGTTTATGCTTTGCTTTTTCACAGCATATTGGACCTCTTGTCACGGACGGAAATAAGTGAACAACATCTTCATTGTCAGACACTTGAATATTAATATCTTGCTTTTCCATATATTTTTTCATCATTTCAAGACCTTCTGGCAGCGTTGGCGTCTCATCAAAAGCAAAGTTGTATGCTTCGTCTAAAAGGTCTTTGTCATAATTCAAACTTTGTGATACAATTTTTGCAACGTCTTCAACATAAACGAAGCTCATCGGAAAGTTAACAAGATTTTTCGGAATAGATATTTCTGTTTCTAAGTATGGTGATAATCGCAACCAAGCCTGGTATATCCACCAACGGTACGTGTTATCACGTGATCCAATAACATCCGGCAATCTGATGAAGAAGTATGGCATCCCATCTTGCTTTCTTTGTTCTACCAAAACCTCTTCCCCTGAAAATTTCCGATGTCCGTAATCATCTTTCTTGTTCAGAATCTCCTGCTCTGGTATATCATCCGGTCGTACAGAATCGGTCTCTACCGTTGGCCGAGTATGGTTTTTCGTGCAGACCTCGTATACAGAGTCAGAACTGATGTAGATATAAAGCCCTACTCGTCCTGCAATTAAAAAAAAATCATATTTGTGCACGCCAAAGACACGTATTTAATAGCTATTGTTTTGTCAAATGCTTTGCATATGCAACATTTTCTGCATTTAGTTGGTTTTCATGTATAAAAAGGGGGATTCCTTTTTGTTTGACAACTAATGCTTTTGTATGGGGACTTAAGGTTGGACCCCTCTACCCCTTTTTTTAAAATGACTAGATCCGCGCCTGAAGTTTGAAGGTTTATTGCAATTATCATAAATTTTGTTATCTATGTTTTTAATTGACTTTGATACGAGTCTTTATAACTAATATAGATATATAAATAAAAGGATAAATGTGCCATGTACATAACAAACTAAGATCTCGATGAAAGTTACTGGCGGAATGAGTCAGTGTTGCACCTCATCCTTTTATTATTTTTTTTTATCTACTGAAATTCACTGGATATATTTATTACATGGGTTGCAATAAATTACCTTGTATGATTTCTCAGTGAAATAAAAACCGATAATTTCACATGTGAAATGATACATTAGTTTATAATATGACCGAAAATAGTATTGAGGTTCTTTTCATCCGAACAGAACCTCCGTAAAAATATGAAGTCGACTTACCTTTCAGAAGTTTCAATGTATCCTTGATAATATACGGATCAAAACCACTGAAATCTACAATTGCATCATAAAAATCATACTGTTCTGCACTCCAGAAATCCATTAAACATTTCATTCGATCACATTTCAAATGCTGTATCCGTGGCTTGATAGTATCGTCAGTGTCCCAGTACCAGTTTCCTCTGGTAACCAAAGTCAAATCGTGTCCATTTTCTAGCATTTTATTGACGCTGGCTGCACCAATAAGACCATTTCCACCAAACACCAGCACCTTTTTAACACCACCCGCGTTAGTCCAAAGAACAAGAGAGAAGAGTATTATAAATGATATCAATAAGCCCATGATTTCTAACTGAACAATACTTTTGTGTCTCCACTTTTAAAAACAAGATAAATAAAGTAAATGGCCTTGATGTTCAGTAGTTGTTGTTTGTTGATGTGTTTCCCGTTTCCCATTTTTTATATAGATTAGACCGTTGGTTTTCCTGTTTGAATGGTTTTACAGTTAGTAATTTTTGGGGCCATTTATAGCTTGCTGTGCGGTGTGAGCCAAGGCTCTGTGTTGAAGACCGTACTTTGACCTATAATGGTTTACTTTTATAAATTGTGACTTGGATGGAGAGTTGTCTTATTGGAACTCATACCACATCTTCTTATATCTATTAAGAGATAGAATGTGTTGAGATTTTTAAATGTTAACATTTACATGAATATTTGCATTGATCCCTGGTTTGCAGTAATACTAGATTACAAGGATCATCACCATCTTAAGGGACAACCAATTGATTTTCTTGGGTGGAAAAAAAAGGGGGGATAGGAGGATTTTGAAAGTGAATATCCCAGTCTGGAAGGACCTGATAAAATATTGCCCAAAAATGAATTATCTGCAACACAAAAATGCAGGAATTTTTTTATGTGTACAAAACTTTTTGTATGTTGAATTGTACCAAGGTCAAGTCGAAAAAAAAACTTCCATAGCATTAGATTAAACTGCAAAAAAATCATCCTGTCCACCACTGTCATATCCCATGCAGTATCTTTCTGTGTCTTATATATATAATATTGGTAAGAGATTGGCAAATGATAGGGTTTCCATTTCATAAAAATGTTTTAAGTTTGAATATTTTCTGTAACTTAATCAGTAAAACCAGTATCATGAGTATGTCTATTCCTTATCGAGACCAAAGACTGGCCTTTCCTATGGGAGGGGATGGGCAGCGGAATGAAGGAACGGGAAGCGGGAGAAGAAAAGGGGGTAAAAATGGGATATGTTGGAAAACATATTCTGTCCGATTTTCGTCTGGGAGTAAGGGAAGGAAAGAGGGACTTGGGTTATGGAAAAGTGGGAATAAAGGACCCTCTAAAACTCCCTCCAATGGCTTTTCAGCTACCGGTTTAATGTGTCGTCTGCTGGAAATCTACAAAAGTTACCCGGGATTGTTTTACCAGATAATTAAAGCAGCAATAAAAAGGAGACATAACACATATTTACCTGTGAGGCTATCATTTCAACCTTTTCTCGTACAACCGGCACGTCCTACTTTTATTAACTGTACAATTGAGAATCCAAAAATCGTTTATTTACGAACTGACAGGTGCGTGTTGACTCCATTTTCAGACCTTCACATAAAAGAGCTTTGGGACAGAGGTCGGTAATCGGATGTCGGTGCGGAGAGATCCCGACACGTTTGTGAAACACTCGTTAACTTGGTCGGTAAATTATTCTACGACCAGTCGTAAATCGTACGATTTACGATATTTTGTGAAACGATAGCTTGATCAGGTAAAGTCCGAGAAACCGAAAAAAGGAAAAAAGTAAACAAGATGGATGAAATCGAATTGTTATATTTCTTTCGCCAATAGTAAATTTTAATCGCCACAATTTTTATTCCGCCAGCAGAAATCCTGTCCCTTACTATCACGTAGACATCTATCAATGTTATAGTAACCTAAATGATATCGACAAAAACAATGAAAACGTCATGAAAGCATTTCTATTTTACTTCAGATAAGCCAGAACTTGCTTCAAATGCTCCTTTTATTTTTGATACTGAAATTGGAAACCCAGCATATATTTCAATTCCCATAAGAAGTTTTGAAAAACCTACTGCTTCATGGACTCTGTCAAGTGAAGAAAGTCTTCAAGTTGGTTTATTGAATGTAAAAACAACACAAAATGACATGTTTCTCATTGAGGGGAAGATAGTTCCAAGTACCAATCATTATTTTAAAAAATATGGAATAAGTGTAAGAAACAGAGTTGGAAGTATTCATGCAGATGTAACGCTTACTTATACAGGTATACATACTTAGTGGTCATAATATATAACAAAAAAACCCAAATTAATATTACATTTCTGAAGAAAATGAGACGTTGCATGTTATTTCCTTAAATCAGTCTGTAAGCTTTCTATGTTGTAATGTTTGAAATATTTTCTAGCTAGGTGTACATTGTATTTTACTCAACAGTTTGTTTAAACATACAAACAAATCGACCGAATCACAAACTATAACAATTTTTCTAAATCCTGTATAAGTGTGTTGTGGTGCTTCAAATGTTTCCTGGAGAGGTAAACATAGTATTTTACTTAACAGTTTGTGTTTTGATCATTGTTGGAGATCGTATTGTTTCCTATTGATATATTCATTCGGTTTATTTAGGTATTGTGATGGATGGTTGTCTCAGTGGCAAGCGCACCACGTGTCTTTACTCTTATACAGTTTCTTTCTATTCACAGACACACGGGTATTGGCATCATCAAGGCGATACAACTGCAGCACAGGGAATTCAACATATATTAATTGCTTTGTCAATACGAATTTATACACAGAATGGTCTTGTGTTTGGAAGCACTTTTACAATGATGAATTCATTAGGTCTTTGCCATGCATTGTTAAAGACGGCGTCTCTCGCTTACGTTTCGAATTTTGTAACTACATGAACACTGGCATTTATAAATGTATTTTGGAAACACCAACATAGAACTTTTCTTCTAATGCTGAACTGTCTGTTAAAGGTGACAAAATTATAATTAGTAAACAAAAATGTTTAAAAGTTTTGTTCATGAATTCGCAACAATGCATTACGTTTTAACTACTAGTAATTTAGCAGGCTTTTTTTAGAATTCTAAATGATTTCATGTACAAGATGATATTCACTACATAAGGAAATCCAAGAAAAGTTAAACATTGACAGCATTAATTATAGGCAGAACTTTGATTTTCTGCTAAGAACATGCGTTTGTTGAAAAAAAAAATCAAACTGTTCATCAACGTATAGTTTTGTATTATATCTTGTATTATATTAGAGTGTGTAATATATGAAAAATGCATTGATTTTCATATTGAACCATCTATTTTATAAAGACCATTCTGGCGCTTATAGTTCTTTTTATTTGTAATGAAAACTATAAATATAAAAAAAGACAAACGCAATACAAAAACCCAAACAAACAAAGATCAACTCCTAGAGTCCCCTACTCCCCCGAAAAAAAAATGAAGAATTATAAAAAACAAATCAAAACAAAGATAAGTAAGAACTAATAGTCATATTTCTATACTTTCAGGGCCACCCATAGTATTGACAAGCGTAGTTGAAAGACATAGCAATAACATTGTGATATCAACGTACTTTGTATCATATTCTCCAGCTAAGAGTATATCTTGGTTTTTCAATAACGGAAAAAAAGAAAGTCAAATTGAATCAAACTCTACGATATGTCAAATCTTATCATCTAAGTCAGCTGCTGATATCGCAATTTACGGTAAAAAAGTACATATAGATTGTATAAGAACAGATCTCAAATTGCTCGACTCTCAACCTGTAAAAGAGGGTTGGTTTGTATGCCTCATAAGAAACAGATTTAGTAGTAGAGAAACAGTATTTAATGTAACACACAATTCTACGTTTAAAACTTTTTTAGGAGAGTCACTAACGACAACGGATAGTCACACAGAGGCCATATTATATAGTAGTATGTATCCTTTGAATTCGTCTGAAGTAAACGATGGAGGTTAGTTTTCTTTTCATCCACATTTGCAACTCAAAACATCGATGTTACAAAAGCAAACTTATAAACCAATACAAAAATTGTTTTTTCACTCCAAAGTTGACATTGAAACTTACATAATAACATTAATGATTCCAATTTTTCTGCACTAGATACGCATTTCGACAACAAATGCTCGAGGCCAAAATATTTGAAAATCTAATGCTAATTAAAAATATGAGGAGCTTATAAACCAAAAATAACAAAAGAGTAAAGCTAAGGTCGGTCAATGATTCAGAGCTTTGTATGATGGAGATATATTCCTTAATCTAAAATAATTACCAAAACTTAGGAACAGCAACTTTGTGTTGCTCAATCTATGTTGTGTTTTGTGAACTGTTGTTTGTCTATTGGATTTTTCTTTATTAGCCATGGCAATGTCAGTTTATTTTTGACTCATGAGATTGAATTTCCCTTTGGTATCTTTCGCCTCTCTTTTGATAACACACGCATCTTCATGCCAGTACCGAAGAACTGGCTACTGGACTGGTGATACCCTCGGGGACTAACAGTCCACCAGCAGAGATATCGACCCAGTGGTACCATAACGGTACAATTGTTTTCTGGTGAGAAACATGACATTAATATACATGCAACAATATAAAAAAACAAATGCAAACACGCATACAACCCGAAAAGTATCTGTTCAGATCTCATGAAAAGATGAGATAATGTAAGTACAAAATAATAAGGTAAATTAAATCTTTACGTGTATTAAACATGTACTAAACAATAAATTGACCATTCTATCATTACAGTAATTGATCATACAAAAGACAATTCCACAGTCATATTCTTGATAGGTGGACTGACTCTATTTGTTGCATTGACGTTAGCTGGTGCGATGTGACAGTACACAGCATTTTTGAAAGGTTAATATCTTTTAAGATACGTATGTGTGAGTTTGTTAAAGTACAGTGTCAATGAATGAATGATGATGGGTCACACAATTCTGTATTCTTTAATTTTTTAATCCTTTTTTCTGTTTTCTTTTTATTTTTTGCCAATTATCCTACATTTCTTATAAGTTTTACTCGTTGTCCTTAATTCTTTGTATATTAATACCCCTTTTTTCTCTACTCTTTATTTGTGTGGCCTATTTCCTCTATTCCTTTTTGCCCATTTTTGTGTAGTATTCATTTTCATATTCTGTGGTCCATTGTTCTCTATTCTTTAAACCCCGTCCAGACCATTAGGACTAAGATTTTGAAAGTGAAACGTTTTACTGTTTAGATTTTTCGATGATATATGATATATAGTATATATATAAAATATGGTTAATAAGTTACAAGGCATATAATGAGGAAGCTCCTTAGTGAAACATGTCTTGTTTAACATGTTTCAATAAGATTTGTAAACAATTATAAGGCATCATATAGTAGCGTTTCATCTTGCATTTCCCCTTATCAAACACGATATAAAAGAACGTTTGCAATAGAAACAACACCTACTGCATTCGTTAGAAAAGGCCAGAGACTCTGATTGCCATGAAAATACATTATTATTTGAATATATTTGAAAAGAAAAAAAAAACAATTGATTTCAATCTAATGTATAATTTTGCATCTTTTACAGGAACGACAACCATTCAAACAGAGATACAAATGAGGTGAATTAAATAGTACAATGTATAAAAATTTATGAAAGACACTGTTTTACGATAAAACAGTAAATCCTATGAAAAAAAGACGTGGTATGGTTGCCAATGAAACAAGTAACGGCCTGTGTGTATCTGACGTGAATGTAAGCTAGTGTAAAGGTCAACGTTCGGCTTTCAACATTAAGCAAAGTCCATACTGTGTTGTCAGCTATAAAAGACTTTGACATGAAAAAATTGAAACGAAATAAACCAACGACTTCATATATGACCCAAACAATAAACGAAAAAAAAATTAAAAAATTTGACAGTCCATTTTCGATAAGAAAATTTTAATGTACTAGTAAAAGACTTTATATGGTTCATATCAAAGGAACGATTGACAAATACAATATACCAAGCCACTGACAATATGTCGATGAGATAAATAGATAAGTTTATGTCCAAAATTGCTTTCTTTATATTGATTTGTATTAAATATATATTGCTCCGCAACACTGTAATTTCCACCTTAACTAAATGGACAATGTCCAATTTCATAATTGTAGGTTTCGTATCACATGTACCAGTTAATTTCATTGTTTTAGATTTAGATGATTAAGAATTTATAAATTAAATTAATAATGTTGTAATCATTTGAATTTGATATATATTATATGTGCACATTTGGTCTAGACTGGTTATATAAACTGAAATCAAATATTTGAGCAAGTCCGGTCCAGTTATGATAAATCATTTTAAAAGTTCGCTTAATTCTACAGGTTTGATAATATTGGTTTTATTTTGTTTCTTATTAGTAATGGCATTGCCCTTCAGCATGTAAGACGTTCAACGTCATCGGACGATATTTATGAAGAAATCTGCAACGAAAACGCTGATGCATGTCCACCATCTATCTCCGGACAAGTTCTAGAGGGAGAAATCGATGATAAACGTTTGACAATCGCGGGGGAAACTATTTCTACTCCAAACACAAATATTTACGAAGATTTGGATGATGCACCTAAGGAAAGAAATCAAAACAACAGTGATCATTATAAAACAATATGTTCTGAAATGCCAATTCTAGATCATAATTCAGACGATGAAAATTATCTTATCCCTGGACCAGCATATTTGATTGTTATTGACTCAGATTAAGAAAAGGAAGCAAACCCATGTGATACTAATGCCTATAAACTAATTATATAATGGAACATATTGAATTTTTTATATTTGTAAAAAGTGTATGGTCATTATAACCGATACAAATAACTTAATCCTTTTGAACATTTTCTTTTACCAAATTTGTCGTTTTGTTAAAAGAATGGCACATTGTTGAATGCCGTATGGTGACCTATAATAGTTACTTCTCCATCATGTGGTCACAGGTGGAGATTTGTCTCATCGACAATCATACAACATCTTCTTATTTTTTATTTTTTTATATTAGAATCATTCAATTGAAGGACATCATCTATATAACGGAACGTAAATGATAACGCAAGTTTTTTTTTTTTCACTTTGTTTGAAAAGTCCCTGTACTAATTATGCATCATAGGAATAAATTAACAAAACGGCAAAAGAGAAGCACACTTTATTTGTATTACATTATATCTATTGATTAATTGTTTGTGTTATACGACTTTTCATCACTCGTCATATTTCACAATTATGGCGTAACGTTTTTAAAGGTGGACGAAAATGGGGTACCCGGAGAGAATCACAGACCTTCGGACGATACAATTACAATAATAATAGAAACAAAACACTTCATTTAAGTACTAGTAACAAATATGTGTAAAGCAAAACATCATGCAATAGTGAACTTCCCATTTCTATGTAGCAACATTCGAGAAGAGCCTGCATATGGAGCAGCAACCCTTTAACAAGAAAATTATGATAGGAAATACAAGTTCTGAAATATAGTATTATCTTGGAGATGGATACTCTATATGCAGGCTCTTCTCGAATGTTGCTACATAGAAATGGGAAGTTCACAATTGCATGATGTTTTGCTTTACACATATTTGTTCGAAGTGGTTAAGTTTAAGTAATCCCTTCAAACATTTTACGGACGCCATCATGAGTTGGTTGACCGTTAGGAAACACCTGTTTCACAAATATCGACAGATATGTTTCAATTGTCATAAACCAGAATCCCGTCCACTTTTACTAGGATGTGAACTTTTGAACTAGACTAACCGGTATTGTACCTACATGACCAAAACGACGGGTGCAACATCTGGAGCCGGATCTGTTTACCTGGTGTTTGGTTGGGGTCATGTTGTTCTTTCTTTAATATTCTATGCTGCATTTTGCAGACTGTTATTTGTCCTCGTGTCGTTTTTGCATTTTTCCCATGGCGTTGTCATTTTGTTTTTGAATAAAAGTTTTAATATATCTGCGGAATCTTCGGCTTCTGTTATTTTTAGAAAACAATTTGTTAGACCGTTTGGTTTTTAACCTGGTAATATAGCTAGCTTAATCTCCCACTTGTATGACAATAGAGTAAGATGTTGCTACACTTTTGAACAAGGAGATGCATTGATAATTATCAATGTTTTATCTATATTCCCTTTACAATTTCATGAGGTAGACGAAGCTGGCTATCGTTTCACAAAAGATCGTAAATCGTACGATTTACGACTGGTCGTAGAATAATTTACCGACCAAGTTAACGAGTTTTTCACAAACGTGTCGGAATCTCTCCGCACCGACATCCGATTACCGACCTCTGTCCCAAAGCTCTTTTATGTGAAGGTCTGAAAATGGAGTCAACACGCACCTGTCAGTTCGTAAATAAAGGATTTTTGGATTCTCTATTGTACAGTTAATAAAAGTAGGACGTGCCGGTTGTACGAGAAAAGGTTGAAATGATAGATTCACAGGTAAATATGTGTTATGTCTCCTTTTTATTGCTGCTTTAATCATCTGGTAAAACAATCCCGGGTAACTTTCGTCGATTTCCAGCAGACGACACACTAAACCGGTAACTGAAAAGGCCAAAGGAGGGGGTTTTAGGGGGTCCTTTATTCCCACTTCTCCATAACCCAAGTCCCTCTTCCTTTCCCTTACTCCCAGACGAAAATCGGACAGAATATGTTTTCCAACATATCCCATTTTTACCCCTTTTTCTTCTCCCGCTTCCCGTTCCTTCATTCCGCTGCCCATCC